GTATTCATCCTCATATCATGGTGCCTTTTAAGGATAATGGGCATCTAACAGTCAGACAAAAAAATTTTAATTTTTGTCAGTCTTCAGCAAGAATTTCAATTGAAAGAGCAATTGGGCTGTGGAAAGTACGCTGGAGAAGCATTCTTGATTGTTTGGCCATGGTCACCATAGAAAAAATTCCTGAATACTTAGTAGCTACTTGTGTATTACACAATATTTGTATATTGAAAGGAGATTTGATAGACTTTAATCAAACATATGAAGAAGATACATCACATGGAACATTAATATCTGCTAGAGTGGAGGATGGTAATGCTAAACGACAAAGAATTATGAATAATTTGATAATGAGGGTCAATTAATGTTTTGAACCTTATTTAATGCAGCTTTTTTTACAGTAGATTATATATTGGTATTTTTATTACTTCATCACTACTTATTCAATATTTCATAATCGTACTATGTTTAAAATTTTAGAAATAGTTACTAAAATAGAATAAATAATTAAGATTACAGAGTATAGAAATAGGTTTATTACTTTTTTACTGTAAATTGTATTGTATTAAATACATATAATCAAAATAATATTCTTTATCCCAATTGCAATCTAAAATGAACAAAAATTGATACAAAACATTTATTTGTTTACATGATGTGTATTTAATACTACATACTTCTATATATAAAAATAAATTTAATTATTTAATATAATCTAGTTTAATACGATCTCTTACATATAATCGAAAATGACTAAAAAAATAAGATTGTATATTAACACAGCTACCGGTAAAATAAAATAAGCAGTCATTTATATGGATAAATTGCAGTAACTAATTCCATCAAAGAATAATTAATTTTACTCCTATATGAATAATTAATTTTCTTAGTTTTAAAAGTCAATAATGATTAATTCAACTTACTAATTTATAATCGATTCATTGACTAGGAGGCTTTGGTATAAATAGACACTATTACATATATAATAAAATGAGAATTGAAAAAGTTAATAGATATTATTTCAAATAACAATGTTTCTTTTAAAATATAAACTCTATAATTAAAAATTAGTATATTGTAGATATAGAGTATTCATTAGAAATAAAAATAAAAATTTTAGAAATAAAAATTGCACAAATTGCATTACATATTACGAAAGAATACTAAAAAAATTAGTTACATTATTTTTTGGCGATAACATTAAACCACTTCTCCATTATTTCCATTTTTTCCTTATGCTGTCTTTCCCGTTGATCTTTTAAATCCTGGAACAATGTCTCTTTGGTTTGCCTTCTTTTCTCTCTTTCTATTCTTTCTTCTTTTATATCTGAAATAAAGTTATCTATAACAGTCTCAATCTTCCGTTTATTGGTCTTTTTTGCACCATCTTTACTATTTTTTGAATCAGACTCAGATAGGATATTTTGTTCATTAGATGGTCCAACTTCTGTAGCAATAGCTTTAGGATTTGCCCATCCTGATTTTCCAAAAATTTCATGCATTCTCTAAAAGAAAGCAGGAATTATTTCAGTAAGAGACTCCGCACAATCAAGGAATAGGAACAGATAATAGGAACAGGAACAGAATAAGAATTTCAATCTATTAGAAATTTTGTATTTCATAGTGCATGATTTCAAATTTTTATTTTCTGTTCCTGTTCCAATTCTCTGATCCTATTCCGTGATTATGCGGAGCTTCTAAATTAGCTAAATTATTGAGAAGCATACATATTTACTATACATTTACTGCCAATAAAATACGGCCAGGTTTTTCTATCGTTTCCTGATACAGAATTATGATCTAATATCTTTTTATATGTCTTTTTTAAGCCATTTAATTTTGATTGACACTGTGGTCCAGTCATAGTATATTTATTATTTATTTTTTTCATATTATCTGCAATGGCTTCCCAGATTTTATTATGACGTTTCGTACCTGCTACAAATTCACCTTCCCATTCTTCATACTTATCAAGCAACAAATATATACAAGCGGATGGCCATATGAAAAGTGACTTATCGTTTGCTGAAATTATCAAAGATATTCATGAATGAAATTTTGATGAACAGTATAAAAATTATAGGAGCCGTTATATTCTCTTGTAGTTATACTCACTTTGATCCTTAGGGTCATCATCAAATTCTTGTGTCTCTGGGGATGAAATGCATGAAGATATATTACTTGAAGACATTACTGAACTATCAATTTGGTTACTCTTATCAATGGGAATTTGAACACTTTCTTGATTGATTAAATTTTTGTTTCTTTTTTTATATACATTGTTAATGAGACTTGTCATATGATTTATATCTGAAAATAATAAAAAGTTAGCCTAAAAAATGTAGTTAACGAAAGGTTATTTCCTTTTGATCAACAATATTATAGCTGATTATAATATAATTACATAATACAAAAATTCATTAATCTTTTTACCTTTAATGACCTTTGCAGCGTCTTGTGATGAAAGTTTCAAAATAATTGTTTCGCCAGTATCTTCCACAAAAATAGGAACGGAAATTAACTGATCTGACATCTTCTGTTGGCAGTTTTCTTCGCACTGATTGAGTTATGCTTTTAGATCAAGGGAAATGGTCCTATCTCAGCGAAGAAACATAAAACGGTTGCAAAACTGTTGTTCTGAACGCAGCCATTTGTCGTGTTCAGCTTGCCCTTTCTTTCTAATGTCCATGATAAAAATACAAGGGTATGCTCATCAATTGTCTAAAACTCGTTCAGCTTGCGCATGTCCTTGCCTACGTCATATTCGGGTACGCGTTGATTGGTCGGTTCTGATTCGGGTGCAATCGGTGGTTATCGGTCGTAATTTATCATGGCGTCCATGATGTAGTGCACGTTGTCATCGGTAGAAGTTAATGTTAAAAATATTTTCACGATGACCTGCATAGTGAAAGGATGCGGCAATTATATGAAAAAAAAAACAAAAAAACTGAGGGAAGTAAAATTAAATATTTTACCTTTCCAAAACAATCTGAAATTGCTGAACAGTGGCGTAAGCCACTCGTTGTGACGTAAGCAAGGACAAAAATCTGATTGGTCATGCGCATGAGCATAC